CATTTTGCTTTGCTCTGCTGGTTCTTCAATAGTGCTTTATAGTTCAGAAAGAGCAGGTACCCTTTTGGCATTATGTGAAAAATATCTTTATTTGTATTTTTGTAATGTAGAATTAGTTGTAATGGTTAGTACAATATAGTAATGCTTGTTACCTGGTCTCAGTCAAATGTCATACTGGCTTTTTCTTTAAGAATTGTTTGATTTTTTTTTTTTTTTCTTCTCTACAGTGACTGAGTTCAACTGGAACATTTGAGTGCAGAGCTAAGTAACCCTATAATCAAGACAAGTTTTTGTTTTGGGGATTCAAAATTCTAGGGCAGGTACTTTTTAATAAAGTGAGTATCTCTGACAAGCCTCTCCCCATCATGACTGCAGAAGGTTCCCGTGGTAGTTAGTGTTTTCAAGGAAACATGAAAGCAAAAGTATACATTTTAAGTCTTCAGTGCAATAAAGCAGGGGTGTCAAACTCATCTATCCCTATGGGCTGGGTGAGTGACCTGGGTCTGGTTCACAGGCCAGATGAATAGTGTGGGACTGGCCCTGCAGGCCTCCTTTGCATGGGCTGCAGGTGCTGGATCTGGCACTTGCCCAGGCCGGTTTGGGACTGTGCTGCACGTGGTGCTGCTCTGGCCGGTCTAGGGCAGGAGCTCCATGTGGCTTGCATCCCAGACCATCCTTACTAGGCGTCACGGTCCTGGACTGCCTGGAGTGTGGGCTGCAGGTGCTAGATCCAGCATGTGGGGAATGGGGGAACATCTTGGACAGGCCCCTCACAGATGCCACGTGCAGCGCAGGTCCCAGAGCGAAAACTGTATGTCCTAGACTGTCCAGGGTGGGCACTGGGTGTAGCTTGCATCCAGGGCCTGTCTGACACATGCTGCGTGTGAATCAACTCAAGGCTTGGGGGTAGCGCTGGGGACCAGATGGTAGGACTCTGCAGCCCATACCTTTGACACCCCTGAAGTACAGTATCTGAATAGAGCTTGTCACCAGCCACCCCCCTGGAGACCAAAGTTTAGAAACTTTTTGGCTACTAGATGCCATCAGCATTTGGAAGATGAGATGGAGTGCAGCCTCAGCAAGTTTGCAGATGACACCAAGCTGGAGGGTGGGGCTAGGATTCAGAGAGACCTTGACAAATTAGAAGACTGGACCAAAAGAAATCTCATGAGGTTCAGTAAGTGGTGCAAACTCATGCATTTAGGATGGAGCAATCCCATGCTGAGGGAACTGGGCTTATTTAGTTCTCAGTGGTGGCAGATGACAGAACAAAAGGCAGTGAGCTCAAATTGCAGGTTGAGGTTGGATATTAGGAAAAAACTCTCACAAGGAGGGTAGTAAAGCACTGGAACAGGCTACCCAGATTGGTGGTGGAATCTATCCTTGGAGGTTTTCAAGACCTGGCTAGAGAAAGCCTTGGCTTGGATGAGATACTTGGGCCTGGTCCTGCTTTGGGCAGGGGATTAGACTAGATGTGTGACCTTCTGAGGTCCCTTCAACCTGAATTTTCTGATTCTGTGATTGCAGTTTTGAAGAAAGGGGGTTAGGCAGATACAAATAGCTAAACAATTGTGTGAGGGAACAGTTCAAAACCATAAACTGGACAGCTCCACTGCTCTGCTTGCAAATGAAATCCTCTTTCTTGTCATGCTTTTGCTGATTAACTTAATTCTGTGAGTATGGTACAAAGTCTTGTTCAATGTAAGTATGGTACAAAGTCTTGTTCAATTAAAAAAATTTCAGTCCAACTTACAGCACAACATACATGTTTTGTATTTGTATTTTTTGCTTGTGGTGAAATATAAAGCGTTATAGTGAAATAACTTTGTAGTAGTGTGTTCATCTAAACTTCTACTGTTTGAATACTAATCAACTCCTCTTGACACAAACAGGAGAAAAATAATAGTAGATAGTTTCCACTAACTTTGGTTTACATAATGAAGCAAATGCCTCACTATTTTTTTTTCAGTATAAGCTTGGCTAGAACAGCAACCAGAGCTTTAAGATAGGATCCTCTCCTGTTTCTTAAGTGATCAGGAAGCAGGACTGGGACTGCTTGTTCCACAGGCTAGCAGAAAATCCAGGACAAGCAGCATGAATAGGAAGAAATACAAGAAACACCTGATTAAATTAACCTTGACTATAAGTAGCATCAGAAGCAACGATGAGGTATTTCCCTGAGACTAGGGTGATGTTAATGTTTTAAGGAAGAGCTTAAAAGCACTTAAAGCAAATAATATTTCACTCTATAAACCTGTTGGCAGCTAAAGGAATTAAATATTTGACAATTTGAACCTCACAACAGTGGACACACACCTCCTTCTAATTAAATCAAGTTTTTGCTTGCTGTCGTTTCCTGCCTCACAGTTTGTGTGCAGTCCTTACTCCTGCTTCCTCCCCTAAATAAGTTCAGGGTTGTAATTCCTCAACTTCTTTTTGTCTCATAACTCCATGCCTGCCTCAGCAGACGCACACCAGGCCAGCCACTCCTTGAACTCTGTCTGCAGTCAGTGTTCTCTACTTATTCATATAGCCTACCTTTCCCAAGTCTCAAGGTAAGTTAAGTGCAATCTCTTGCTCTGTGCATTGGAGTCCCAACATGGACCATATTTTTGGCACCTTTAAAATTACATTTCTAATGCTAGACCTTACTCATTCAAACCATCTTTAGGCAAATGATGCCTCTTTAGCTCGCTGTGCAAGCTACAAAGTATGATTGTGTTTAGAGAGAAAAAACAAACAAAACCCTGCCACACTATCCCCATTTCAAACATTCCAGAAGCAATCCCCTTGGGTGACTGCAGATCCAAGACAATACATGTCTAGCTTAAGCTTTCGCTGACTTATAGAATGCCCACCACTCTTCTACCCAAGGACCCAATCTAAGGCCCTGACATGAGTAAGCAGATCCTTAGCCTCATATAAAACCCTGCTTGTGGCAGTTGATATCCATATAGAAATGGGCAGCCTAGTAATAGACCCTGCTCATCCGCTTAACATGTAGTTTTATCTTTCAGTTATACGCAGAGTTTCTATGCACAAGATTTTAAAACTAATGCTTATAAATTCTTTAATCCCTTAGTCTTTTTTTCACTCCTTTCCAAATAACTGGTTTACTAGCTGTTGATGGAGCAGGTTCTTCACTGTCATCATCTGTACCGTCATCACTGTCACTCTCGCTATCACCCTCTTCTTCAGACTCTTCATCACTTTGTGCCTCCCTGAAAAGAAAAGAGGTTTTAAAGCATATAAAAGCAAAAACATGAAGGCATGTAAATGAGTTTTGAAAGTTACTACCCTTTGGAACTGATTGGTCTGTTAGGATTTGAAAATTCTTTTCCAGAGTCGACGTCAAATGGATCTGCAAAAAAATAACAGCAGATCTCGGTAAGTATTATAACAGGTTTTACAGCTATTGTTCTTTTCCTTCAGAGTAGAAAACTAAGTGGTCTCTGCTAATTTAAACAAGCTGTGATTCTACAGAACAAGTAAATTCAGTGAAGAACTGCCCACCTTGAAACCTTAAAAATCAGGTCCCTTTAAGGGGTTTTTGAACCCGAAAGCTTGCTTAATAACTATTCTCCAACCATTTGGGTTGGTCTAATAAAAGATATCAAATTCACCCAAAGAACCTTGTCTGCCTAGGTCCCTTTAACATACTTCAAGTTTCATACCCAAGAGATTGAAAATGTCAGTCACTAGTCACTTCTGAAAATCCTGGCCCAACAGCTTATGAATACATGCGACTAAAAGCAGATCTTTTACTTTAAGAAAACTGCACCGCACAATTCCTCCTGTTTCAGATATGAAAGCCTCGTGAGCCATTAAGAAATTCCAACCCCAAGAGTTAAGGCAACTCCTTAACTCTTGGGGGGGGGGGGGGGGGGTGTTGTTTGCATGCATATCTATACACAGACATCTGACTCTGAACAGACCTTCAGCAGCTTTAAATACAATGCACAGTATGATGACATTCAGCAACAGAGCACAACAAAACTTTTAGATTCTTCCTTATTGAGATCCCATGCAATAGCAGAGAAATGTATGAAAAGCCAGAATATTTACAAATTTCAAGAAGTTGTACGGAGAAGTTACTCAGAACGGAAGATTTTACCTATTTCTTCAGTTTCTCTTTCTTGAGCACTGGCTAAAAATTCTTCCTCAACTTTCAGCACATCTTCCGGGCCATGGCAAGCTGCATATTTCTCCAAGAGATTTTTATTCAATTCAATAAATGTTTTGCCCCATTTAAATTTTCTCAGAAGAATGGTGGCTAGATCAGGGAATCCTAAAATACAAAACAAGTATAATCAGCTTCCTAAACACGAGCCTAACCAAAAATGAACACAAACACACAAAGTTATAGTTGCCTTTGCATCCAACCAACATCGGTTCTATGTGGAGCACATGGCACTAGCACAATGCTTTGTGAGACATTTGCCAGCACCCCTGACTTCTCAAACCTACGTCTGAAAAGGAGACCACTTGAGAACTCCAGGGAAACCCATGAAAAACTTCGTTTTTCGCTAGTTTCTTATATGGAAATATAAAACCATACGTTGTTCAAGTACCACTGAATCAGGAGGTACACCTCTCCACAGCCTTCAGGACAACTAAAATTGACCGTTCAGCTACTGCCAAGGCCTCACCAGAGCAGACAATGTCTGCGTACGATGGTTTCGATCCTCTTTGTGAACCAGAGGGCTGGTGAGCAGCCATTCTGCAGCCCAAAAAGCTGCTACGTGTCTCGGGGGCTTTTTTTTTTAGCCTTCCTGGGCTGTGCCAGTGCCCCTGCTGGGACTGAAACCTAGGGGTTCCTGACTAGAGGGTCTTGCCCCTGTGCCTAGTCAGACCGTTTGCCATAATCAGCATCAGGAAGGAATTTTACCCCATAGTCAGACTGGTGTGGACTGTGGGTGGAGAGGGGGCACCGCCAATGCCTGGGACTCTGAAGCATTAACAAGCCGTAACAGCAGCGGGACGGGGGTGCTGGGGGCAGGTTTGGGTGCTGTGTCTTGCATCACATCAAGATTGACGGTAGCTTTCCTAAGGGGTTCTGGATGGCACAGGGCAGCTCGGGTAGGGAGGATCCGGCCTTGGGCAGGGGATGGGACTAGATGCGCCCCCCCCACCTCCGTGTGCTGTTAACGCTGCAGCGAAGCAGTGGCTCAGCCCACGCCCCTTACCCACGATGCAGAAGGCAGCTGCCAGCGCCTCCACGCAGGACAGGCGGCGCGGGCGGCCGTAGTTGACGGGGTTGGCGGCCACCAGGAAGGGCAGCAGGCGCGGGTGCGCCCCGCGCATCTTGCCGAACGGCGTCTCGGGCAGCCGCGCCCAGGAGCAGTCGATGAGCGCGACCCCGCGCTCCGCCACCACCTGCCTGCGGGCGGGACGCGTGAGACCAGGCGCCGCCGCGC